ACAGTGAGGGAGGGAGAGACTCACGCGGATAGTGGCGGAATAGGTGCTCTTGACAGCGGGCGTGTCGAAGCAGGGGAAGAAGGACCGGTTGCACACGGAGTGACCCTGAGTGAAGACCAGCGGCCGCGTCTGGCCACACGTCAGCTCCGAGTCCAGCCACCAGATCTGCGGGACAGACAGAGACGAGGTAAGCAGAGAGTAGGAGAGAAGGCCAGAAGAGAAAGACGGGGAAAATTGGTATGATCGCAGCACTGAGACACTCCCATCGACACACAGCTGGCATCCTGGACTACTGTGGTAAGAAGACAATCTCCTGCCACTGCAGTGTGGGTGCAGCACGGACCAGAGCTGACGCAGAGTCCATAATATTCAACTTCACAAGAGCCGTCCGGCACTGAGCAGGGCAGAGGTACGGTGTGGCAGTTCGCAGCCGAGAGAGAGACGCCACCTGCACCAGCCCAACACATGGACTGCCTGTGCCTCTAACCAGCCAGGGGAAAAACAGAGGGGTACCGAAATAAACCGTAGATGAATCCAAGTGCACAAATAAAATGTTCCTTGAAAATGACAGCTGTCAGAAACATAAAGCTCATGTCGCAGCGAGGACATCAGAGATACACCACCTGGACTGATTTATCGAAGCAGGAAGAATGATGGGTTGTGTGGAAACAGCCCCAGTCCCCCAGAGACCAGCCCCCTGCAGCAGGGGAGACTGCGAGAGAGGCGCCCCCAGACAGCAACCTGCTTTCACAACTTTTGGCAAACCGATGACTAACCGGAAGGAAAAGGATTTCCCTGAACGAACAAGTGGAACACCTGCATCTCCCGAGCCCCGGCTGGTCCAAAACCTTGGTTCTCCAGCGCAGGTCCGCCGTGTCCCGGGCGAGATCAGAGCCCACAGCGCCAGCCACCGGCCTGGACCACCCCGCCAGCCCTGAGGGCATGTCCCTTCCCCCCTGCCAGTGCCCCAACAGGCCCCTGGCATCACAGCACAACCCGGCCCCTGCTTTGAGAGACAAATGTATGGAAATCAGGCTGAGAGACAGAAGAAACCCTGTCGCTGAAAAGAGAGGTTATGCCGAGAGAGACGCCGGTCCAGGACGGCCCTTCCCAGATGCTAGAGCTCTACGCAGCACAAACGGATCCTTCATGGGCACCTGGGGGGGAGAGAGACACTGCGGCACTGTTAGCGTCTGTGCTCCCCCTCTCCGTGAAGACGGCTGGTGCTGAGCTTGATCAAACGTCTTCTGTTTCCAGCCCAGGCTGCAGGAAACGGGCCCAGAACAGGCCCATCAGTAGGCCGTCCAGACCGCAGACAACATCGAGGAAGAGAGCAGAGACCAGCGTCGCCGTTCCGCAGGCCCGGCGCATGAGCCAAGCACAGGACCCACTGCCCTGACACTACTGGGCGCCCTGAGCTGATGCCTCCTCCTCACCCAGACGCCCTCCACCTCTGGAACAGCGGTTAGCCCCCACCGTGGGCGGACTGACATATCAGGGAAGACCAGCTGAGCCCTGAAACACGCCACGGGCCCCAGAGTCAACACCCCAGAAACCTGCAGCCCCTGCACAGAAAACAAACTGCAGCTCATTCGCACCTCTGCCTAAAGCTTCATAACTGGCAGACAGTGGAACCCAGGGACAAAAAGACAGCGTCTGGGGCCCCTTCTTTGAGAAGCAAGTCAGAACACTGACAGAAGCAAACCTCTTCCTAACCCCCTAATAATGGCTACAGACATGAATCTCCAAGGACCCGACACACTGCGCCAGGGTTTCGTCCATCTCAAGTCGCTTCTGAAAAAAGTTATTTCTTAAGATGCAGCTCAGGCACAAACAGCAATCGAGCACGTCGCCACCGTGACCAATGAAACCGACTTTCTCGCCCCCGATGTTAAAGGCGTGGGGAGACAGAAAGCCAAGGGGGGTGAGAAAGCCTGGAGCGGACTGGCGTCACTGGCCCGGTCAGCGCTGGGAGTGACCCCTGATGCCCACAGCTGGGTTTCAGGTCCTTAACTGGACTGATCACTGGGTCAGCGGCCTGCATGTAGTAACGACAGACGCATTTAAGATCTGCACAGCTGCTGATTATCACAGCTCTGGCTGCAGGGACTTAACTGAACAGATTGCTTCATCACCTGGCTACGTCTGACTCTAGGTCTTCAGCAACAAAGGAATTAAGAGTAATGAGGAAGCTTAATGCCCAGGACTGAACGCGGGCGGACTCCTCAGCACAGCCCCTCCTGCCCCAGGCTACAGTTTCTCCTGACTCCCCTGTCCTGACCTGAGGCAAGGCCCCTGTTAATAAAGTTTTCGGTGGCTGACCCCCCCTCCAGGAGTGCATAGTGGTAACAGCCCTGTGACAGGACCCTTCCCATGCTGGGCTGTTCAGCGCACCGCCTGCACAGAAAGAGTTCAGACAGCCAGGGCTTCCAAAGTAATTCAGAAATACTGCCTCTGGCAAACAAGGCAGACACTTAGAAAAACAAGCGGCTGTTGTTGTCCTTAACCATATTAGTGGAAGAGACTGCTTATCACTCTAACAAAAAGGAACAAAAAATATTGATGTGACCTTTTTAGGACTTGATGAGGACACTAAAAAGATCATAAATGGGTATCACTTACTGTATATACCTATACCTGACGTCCCGGAGGGGGACAAAAGAAACTCCAGGGTAGAAATAACTGGAGTGTAAAACAGACCGGCAAACCGACCCGTTGAACAGCGTTGTTCCGGGCAGATGTGCACACCATCATCATCCTCATGCCCACACAGCTGTCATCACTGCTACTGGGATTGCTCGTCTCCGTTGCTAACATTACTACACATCCAGGGAGGTGCATATTAATAAACTATGACTAAAGACTATGAGCAGCTGTGAGGCAGATGAAGATACTTCCCTAAAGTTGCACAGTGCGCTGGGAGTTTTTTCCTGACATTCCAACCATCCAGATGAGCGCAAAAACTGTACACAAGCACTACAACAACACCGTTCACATACGCTCCGTGTACTCACAGACTACTTCGACCAGAGTTACTGCTGCCGGTACGGGCGGCTGTCTTACCGCCGGGCCGTCGGTCGTGGTGTAGCGCACGGTGATCTGGAAGGCTTGGTGCGGCCGGAGCGCGGCGGCCGGCAGGCAGATGTTGAGCGAGGAGCCGTAGTCGGTGAACGGGTCGACCCGGTAGGTGAGAGAGGTGCTGGTGTCCGGGGCGCCGCCGGTACCGAACACCTTGCAGTCAATGGAATGGATGAGCAGAGACGGGTGGGTGTCCAGAACCAGGGTCTGGATCCCGGGCTGGACCGACACCAGCTCCAAGACCTGCCAGCCCGTCATCTCCTTGTCGACGAAGCTGAGGCGCAGGTCGAGGTGGAAGTGGCGGAGCTTGAAGCTGTGGAAGTTGGACGCCGAGGCGATGTCGACCCGCTGGCAGTGACCCGGCGCCGGGCCGCCGTCACAGGACTTGCTGGGCACCGTCAGAACTTTCCGGCAACAGCACAGCGTCGGCCGCTGGAAGTCAGACATGGCTCCGGAGTTGTAAAATAAATTAAAAGACTAATAAAAGTTATTTAAACACAGGGAAATAAAAAAAAAGATCAATAATAAAACACGATGGCAGCCGACGAGACCAGAGGTAGCTGTGGGGGGCGATGAAGACGCAAAGCTGCTGAAAACTGAGGTTGAAAAAAAAGAGAAAATATTCAGGGGAAGAGTGAATAAAAGTGATCCTGGCTACGTGAAATCCATCAGGGCCGGAGAGAAAAGCGAGTCCAGCATTTTCCACTGCCCACCGAAACAGACGGAGGGAGAGCAAAGAAGTTGTTTTGTTTTAGAGTTTAGTTAAAACAAACGGAAAATAAAGTCCAATAAAACAAAAGGGAAACAGGACGCGCAGAGGAGAATTAAAAGTTAAAATGAAAGAGGCTGAGCTGTGACTCCCTTTGAAAACAGGAAGTAAAACGGGAGGAAATCGGTTTCGGAGGAAAGTTTGGGAGCCACAGGGGGGCGCTGGAGAGCCGGGAGCAGGCCGAGGAGATAGCGGCTCCCCCACGCTGTCCGTCCTTGGGGCGGGGGCACTGTTTCACAGTCGATAGCTGGCGTTGTGTTGGAGCAGCATCATCTGAAGTAAATTTAATCTGATTCCAGCTCATACTGAAGTTTTCACTTCGTCGACATGACTCCAGCTGTGCCCAAACCATTGTAGACGCAGGACGCAAAGGGTTCCCCCATACAAAAATATGTTTACAAACCCGAAGCACGAAATTCCATGTTACTCCATCTATTCCGCTGCATGTGAAGAGAAAATGGACCTAACACAGTAACAGAAAACCTAAAAATCTGCAGTAGTTTCCAGTTTACAGGTGTTGGCCAAGCGCAAGTCCAGAGGACTGAGAATCGTGTCCCTTGCAGGACAATTGCTCAGCCACGTCCCAAAGTAACAGCCTGTTACCCGGCTCCGTGCAGTAACGGGAGCGCTGGCTGTAACCCCGGGCTGCTCACGACGGGGTAGTTTATAAAGTCACCTACCGGAGAACGAGCCCCCCGAGCAGTCGGTCTACACTGGGGACCCGACCAGAGAGGAAGAGCAGGCGGATCGCATGAGTGTTACTGCTACACTTCAGTAGCACCTTCCTTTTAATCTTATGCCATGATTCCCGTGTAGAAGATTGAGAAACATTACGAAATCTGGCGTATAAAAAGACCTCACATATTCCAAAGCCTGGATGCTAACAACACAGCCCTCCGGAGTAAGTGTGACACAAGGACTTGAAGATACCAGCAGAAATTAATTTGATTTACATTTAAAACATGTGGAGCAGTTGTTTGGAACAAGTTGCAAATCCACAATGCTAAATGATTCCCTGGCATCCTTTAAGAAAAGGCTAGATGAGATCTCCAAGACACCAACAGCTGCTAGCTCTGGTCAGCAGGTTTAGAACAAGAGTTTTTAACAAGCACAATTCCCCACCTTTGCTCCAACAGCATAGGAGAGCTGCGCTCCTCTACCTTACCCTCATGACCATCCTGTATCCAGGTCAGATGAGCTCCTGGTAACTTTAAATGAACCCAGGAAGAGCACTGAATCCTAAATTTACAGTAGCTTTAACATCAGACTCCATTTACCCTGGTATTAAATGCACAGTTATTGTTGGTTTTGTCTTTTGCAATTCTGACCTCTCTTTGTAACTTTTAAGAAATAGAAAATTGACCACCAGTTGAGACCATGTTCATGTTGATAAGATCAGCCTGTTGATGTCGGCACCAAGACACATGGAGCTGTTTAACCCCACTACCACCCCTAGCACACAGAGCTTACAGGGTAAGTGCTTATTACATCAGGGAAGAACACAGGAATGTTGGTAATGGGCAGTAAATAACATTGGTTTGTTGTTCTGATCATCATTCTTATAATCTTGAATATAGAGGACAATGTTTTTGAGAGCTGGTGACACCGCTACACAGGATGCTACCCTTGAGCTACTTTGGTATTTCCTTGACCTCTTAAGCCATTTTCATATTCCTCCACCATTAGAAATAAACACCCAGAGTGCAATGCAGTAAGCAAATGGCATCACTGCTCTATGTAAAAATGCAAGACCTTCACATTCAGATTTTAGGTTTTAGGACATAGGGCTATGAAGACCCTTAATTGGCCTGATAACTTGTCAAGAGTGGTTCCCCAAAAATCATATGATAATAAATTGCAGATTTAAAATTGTAAAGGTTTGTAGGTAGCAAGGTTCCAAGGAGCAGACTTGGCTGTATCCCGGGTTCAGTTGGTCACAGAGCACCCCTGGAACAGAAGGCCCTGTACAAGAAGAAGGGCACTCCTGCACCCACAGTGGGCAGAGAGACCCTGGCTGTTCTGGGTGGCACCAGGGAGGGGTCCCAGGAAGATTATCTGAGCTGATTTCAAGTGCCTGTATTATCCAAGACAAGTACAGGCAAAAAGCATGGAAATAAAATGAACACAAGGGTCCATGAAAAGCAGCATGGGCTCTTGGTTAACCTTGCTTCAAAATATTTACACACCCAAGTGTTAAGAAATTGCTTTGCCCATACGAACGGTACATGTCAAACACCAGCTTTAATTGCTGAACATTCTTTTGATTTCCCTCAACTCAGCCTTCCCACGTTTTAGCATCTCCATTTCTGTACAATATTTTTTTACATTAAGTACGCACCTTAAGTTGAAAACATTAAGGTTCTGGAAACATGGATTAAAGTGGATTACGTTTTTCTCAGTTATGTCGTTTTGCTTTGTAGAACTCTGAAAATCATTTTGACAAACAATTTAAGGCGTTTTATACAAAAGAGCACATGAACATTTACATTTCATCACTATACTGTTCTGTACGGAAGGTAATTTCTTGTAAGGATAGTTCTTGACTGCATGCCCTTTTTAACTTTTTGTTGGCTATAGTTTTATAGGTGTTGATGTGGAAGATGACATCCACTACAGCCTTAATCAAGAGTGAAAACCGAGATAATTGGACTGAATTGGCCTTTGCACCTGGGTGAATGCAAATGCAAAAGAAGTCTCAGTATTTTCTTATCTTATTACCCTCCATTTGGCTTCTAAGTCACTGAAAGAATGTAGTTCCTGCACAAGTCCAGATGCCACAGTTTTCACATCACAGAACTCAAACAATTGTCTCATCCAACAACTATGTGCATAATCTTAAACACACGCAAATATTAAAAAGATGCAGTTTTGTATAGTTTAAACTTATAAACAAGTAGACCCCAAAGCTTGCTCTCAAGGGCTACAATCCAAAAATTTCCAGCCATCTCATTGAGAGTATTAGCTTGAGTGTGGATCAAAGGTTTAACTTGACCCAGTCAGGCCCCATTAGTATAGAGCCTCAGATGTTAAAAAGAGACCTAGGAAACTTGGTGAATTAATGAACAGAAGGACATACTGCATTGAGGGCTCTTGTGGCACAAGTGGCCACAAACTGAATCAGATTAACAATCTAGTTACTAACACCAGTCATGATAATTAAGACTTCCAACACACAGAATAAACTCCCAAAATAATTTTAATATTTTGTTCTCATCTCTCCTCTTTCTCTCACAAGGCAATAATGTAGTCATGCTAAGGCTATAAAAAGTCAAAAAAAAAAAACAAACAACACACAGACATTCAGCCGGGCCTCCTGGGAAGCCACTACAGTTACAGTACGAACCCATGAACGGGTACAGAATCTTAAGACAACTTCCATGGGAACAGCACACACCTGACTCTCTGATGTTACAGCACAGCTGTGGTTACGCTATACAGCAAATCTGCCCCCAGCAGGCAGAAGAGTGTTACTACAGTCTAGGAAGGGCTCTGGGATGTGAACAATCCCGCTAGCGAGCCTGGATTGGATCCTGCGGGCACACCGCATGAGTGACGGACAGCTGGGATCCCACACTCCTCGACAGGGAGGAGACAATTACGACACTGTAATCAACGGGTCAAGAAGACACTCGACAAGAAAGGACGATTTCCTCAAGACTAAACACAGAAGGGTAAAACAATCGGTCCGCAGACAAGGCCTCTCGTAGAGGTCACACCTCAACAGGACTTGAGTCATTGGCCCTGAAACAGCACAGACCTGCAGTGCTGAAAGCCTGGTGCAGACTGGCTCCCAGTCTAACAGTGCAATGACAAGTCACATACCTTCTCAAAAAAATAAAAAATCAAGACCACCTCAGAGCCTGGGGCAGAGACAGGTTGGAGAGAGCAGCTCTACCCAGCAGTAGAAGTGGGTGGAAAAGCATTTCATCAGGTGCTGGATACCAGATGACAAGCACATAATTATACATTTCATAAGATGTTAAAATACTAAATACAAATATCAGACTACAAGGCTGGAACATAAAAATATGAAATCAAGAACATGTTACATCCAGTGAATATGTACATATAAAGTCAGTACAAAATAAACTTAGCTTACATTTACATTTCACTGTAAATATATATATTCTATAAAACAGACCTGTGTAAATATAGCTACACATGTAAAGCTTTGTTTTGATAGAAACTCAAACATTACAGTATCGCTGGTTCCCTGACTGGATCAGTTCAGAGTGCGTTTCAGATCAACAGCAGAGGAGGCAGTTCAGTCAGGACCGTGTCCAGCGGCAACATTTCTGTGCCACTCGGGTCCCTGTACTGGCGGAGCACAGCGCCCCCTGCAGTGTGTGGTGTGAACATCGGGCAGGATGCTCTTCTCCCCTCGTGGGCGTGGGCGCTCGACCTTCAGCCTCTCACGGTGATCTTGTTTTCCACAGCAGCCAGCATGGCACCGAAGCGCGAGTTCTCATTCAGCAGGAGCTTGGATGGCTCGTCAAACTCCACCACCTGAAGAGACCAGATTCAGGCTCAGGTCAGGCGAAGGGACGAATGGACTTGTGAAAGCAGGAGGGGGGAGTCTGTGAGGTGGGGGCGTGTGGCAGGAGTGATGCAAGGCGAGGAAGGTGCGAGTACCTGTCCCTGGTTGAGCACCATGATGCGATCACAGTTCAGCACAGTGTGCAGCCGGTGCGCAATGGTGAGCATGGTGCAGTCCTCAAACGCCTCGCGGATCGTCTCCTGGATCAGGGAATCCGTCTCCGTGTCCATTGCTGCCGTGGCCTCATCCAGGATCAGGATCTAGGGAACAGCCGACACCGAATTACACCGACGCTGTGCTAAGGGTCAGATGCCCACAACTGGGTGAGGTTCGATTCTCTTGGTGGTTAACCTGGAGGCATTTTTACACAGATTTTACTTGTATCCATTTCTTTTGTCAAGTTAAAAAATAATAAGAGTAGGCATAGCTCTACCTCTAAAACAAGAAATTCTTAGCATCTTGCAAGTGGTGGCTTAAGAATAGCTTTCTGAACTCATCTTTAATGAGATGGCTGCTTTGTGGCAGATGAAACAACGTGATTAAAGGTAATTATTTTGCTGTGCTGGAGGAGTGCTTCCGTGCAAGAGTTTCAGAAGAACAGAAACACGTACACAATTAAGATTGTAACCGATCACTTCTATAACACAAGAATATTTTTTTTGGGGGGGGGGGGAAACAGTTCAGAATTTAACTTTTTGTTATATTATCAGCCTCTTTCCGATACTCAGCGAATCTTCCAATAAACTGATTTTCACAAACCCTTTTTTCAGGCATTCAGACTGGTATAACCAATATCCAGTCTTTATAACAATGGTATAATATATAATCTAATAGTGACCAACAATTTTCACCTTGGTTCCCAGCGTTCAACCCAGCGTTGCCCTGTGTGTGAGCACTGTGCAGAGCGGTTTGGAAAAGCGCTTACTTTGCAGCGGCGCAGGAGGGCCCGGGCCACACACAGCAGCTGTCGCTCCCCCACGGAGAAGTTCTCTCCGTTCTCCACCACCTCCGACTCCAGCTTCAGGGGCAGCTGAGTGATCTGGAAGGAAAACTACGCATCGGCAAGCTGCTTCAACACGTCTGGCTTGAAAGCGAACACCTGAGCCAGAGCGCGGCCCGCTCTCGCCAACACCAGACACTCACACACTCCTTCATGTGCGTCCTCTCCAGCGCGTCCCAGATCTGCTGCTCCTCGTACTGATTGAAGGGGTCCAGGTTTGACCTGCGGGAGGGGGGGTGGGAGAGTTGAGCAAACTCCACAAGGAGATAAAACACCTCTGCGATCAGACACCTTGAAATGAACTACAGGCAAAAAACAATTAAAAATGACCATCTAGCAACAAACTGTAACCAAAGCGTATTTCCAAACACCACAGATTAAAGCCAACCTGTCTCAGACAGCAGGGGCTCATCCACACAGCAGTGAGAACATGCGAACACGCAGCACTGCTGGACTGGAGCTTCGGAGTCCCTCAACGGCTGCTTTTAAAAAGTGGTTACTCAGTTTTTGGGCTTGGGTTTTAATAATGTGTGACTTGCAGAATGAAGTAGATACCCCTCTGCACTGTAAAGTTCTCTGTAATGCTTGACGAAGGAGCCACAGCTGAGGTTTAAGAAGCTGCTGTGACGCCGTGCTGCAATGGCAGTGCCCCACGGCGCCCCCACCTGACAGTGCCGCTGAACAGCACGGGCTCCTGGGGCATGATGGACAGCTTGCTGCGCAGGTCCGCCAGGCCGATGTCGCAGATATTCACACCATCGATCTTGATGGAGCCGCCACAGGGTTCCACTAACCGGAACAGCACCATGCCGAGAGAGGACTTCCCTGCAAACACACACAGGAACAATGACACCGCTACCTGCCTGAATCACAGGCCTTTTTCACCCTCTTTGCTACACTATTGAAAAATATCCAAATGAGCCCACACAAAAAAGGGGGCTTTCAGAGTAACAGAGGCAGATCTCCATGTTATCAATGAAATGTTCGTCAGAGTTCACCAATTCCAAATATTTAGATGGCATTCCTCTTTCACAAGCAGGGAGAAGTTGGACCCTGAGATTTAATACAGACCTGAACCAGTCCTGCCCACAATGCCAATCTTCTCCTTAGGCCGGATAGTGCAGCAGATCTTCTTTAGCACCAGGGGCAGGTTCTCTCGGTACCTCATCTCTGTGTTGTCAAACACAATCTCGCCCTCCTGCGGCCATTCCTTTGGAGGGGCCTTGTTTTTAATGCGGGCAGGAGCTTCAAGGTCCAGAGACTGCAGAGAGATAAACAATGAAGGCAAAAGTTCAGAGGTTAGGGGACTGGTCTATACCTTATGCAGGACTGGGCTGATCTATTTGAAGAAAGATGTCGGCTCTGTACCTTGATGTAATGGTTTATTCTCTGCACGGAGGTGAAGCGAGCTTCGGTCTCAGAGGCCAGACGCACAGTGAACTGGAAAAGCCCTGTGAGCTGAGATAAACAGAAAGACAAAGGAAGGAGAGTTTCAGATGTCTTACATTGTCAGTCAACTAAAGTACAGGGCCATAGTTGTTCTGGAGATTCACTGGAGATCTAAGGTTAACAGCAGAAAAATGTTACATTACACAAAGCTATATAGCACCCAATGTTTAGAATTTACCCTGGTTTTAATTCACCCAGAAAACACATTAAAACAGTTTGTCGATATTTAGGCTTTTGTTTGAAATCACACCACAATCCCTTCTGGATGAAACAATGGTGGGTGCTCTTAACAAGGGGGATCGCAATAGAGTGAGCAAAATAAACCGCTACTGGGGCTCAGAGCTCAAGAGATACCCCTGACACAAAACCAGGACACACCTGCACAGCATAGGAGATGGCCAGACCAGCGTAGGCAGGGGGAATCTGGCCATGCATGAGAACAATCATGAGGCCGGTGATGCTGATGAGAGCCACACTGATGACGTCCAGACGCACAGCCAGCCAGCGCATCGCGCAGTTGAATAGGTAGACGGGTGCCTGGTTCTCATCCAGCAGCTCCTGGTACCTGAAAATACACGTTACAGTCGGAGTGCTGGGACTGTCACATTCCTGAATGAGGCTACACCATATTCTGGTCACAAAACAGACCACGGATGTACAGCTGCTCAATACACCTAACGAGACTGAGCCTACACAGCACTTTAAGGAGCTGGCACAAACTAAGTATCCAGTAACCTTTTATAAAAAAAATGCAGTACCTTTTATCAAAGCCCACAGTGGGCAGACCTTGCTGGGCTGTGGGTGTCTGTTTTGTTACCTTCTCTAGCCAAAAGCTAGAGATTTGCCAAAAGCCGAAGTGCAGCACTCACCTGTACAGGAACTCCTCGCCCTTGTTGTAGGCGTGCACCGTGGTCAGCCCCTGGATGCTGGAGGTGATGTGGGAGAGGAAGGGAGACTGGGTGATGTTGTCCAGGCGCTTCAGCTCTCTGATGAACACCCTGTGAGGAGCCAGACATCACACCTCATCAGTACCGACACACAACCTTGGTCTTGGTTTCCCCGGGAACAGGTCTGCATCGCTCAAGCAGAACCTGACAGCGCTAATGGCACCATCTGGATACAGTAACCAGTCAGCCAAACAGCAGAATCCCAGGACCAGTTTAAAACACTGCATTAAATGAGTAATAAACACATTGTGAATCTGAATGTTGGGTAGAGGTTTAATAAGAAAAGCATCACACGACTGCAGAAATGTATTAATTCTACTTATTTCATCCAATGAAAAACAGCAAAAACATTTTAGAAAACAGATAATGGAGTTTAATGAGCATTCTATATTCAAAACAGAATGAGATGCACAGTTCAAATCTCAAAGCTGTGTACCTGGAAACCATGTGCAGGACAGTGAAAAGGATGACCAGAGGACCCACTGCAACCAAGAACCACGGGAACACACAGGAAATCACCCCGAGGCAGAAGAACACCAGGATCACGTTCTGAATAAACATCTCTGCCTGGAAGGGCAGCCGGGTGTCCACTGTGGAGAGAGAAAGAGGGCAGGAGTGAGACTTCATACAGGTAGTAAGCATGACCTGCACTAAACCAAACATCCACTCTTATTAAGAAACGACACTCCAGAACTGTGATAGCAACCAGAGTTTTAGATGTCAGCAGAACATCCACTTTGTGTGGCACCTCATAAAAAAAAAAAAAAGGATTTTTTCTTAAAATCATAGTTGCAATTTAAGGCCACAATAACAAATAGGTTAAGTGCTTTAAGACATATCCCCCTTTATTAAGTCTGCTGCAGCATTCCTGTACAATGCTTTTTCAAGCTGCGTGCTGTGTAAGCTCAGGTACATTTGTGCAACATCATGTTTCCCAGTGGTCATGGAGCACTTCTGTTTAGGCAATGGCAGGGTAGTGCCAGCCAGCTGAATGCAGCTCTAGAGCAGAGAGGGGCGGAGGTCTTCACCTTCATCCATGTCCTTGGAGAAGCGGTTGAGAATGCGCCCAGTGGGGGTCGTGTCGAAGAACTTCATGGGGCTGCGCAGGATCTTGCGGAAGAGTTCGTCGTGCAGCCTGGAGGAGGCACGCAGGGTACCCTGTCCAGAAAATGGGAGACGGGATTCAGACCAGATGCTTCAATTTGGTCAGAATCACCAAATCACCCTCCCACAACACAAATACATTAAGACACACTTGTAGTGTGTTTGAGGTATCAAGACAATCGAAAAGATCAATAGGAAAGTCTTGCCCTTCCCCTTGAGTCAAGTCGGGACTATGATGGGAGAAGCCATCTTAGGCAAGAAGGAGATCAGCATCAAAGTTTACTACTAAACTGTAGCTGTAGCCTTTCAGGAATAAGAAGTTAGAGATCCCAAAGGAAGATACCTCTAGACCAAAGAATTTTACCAAGTGTTCGATGTTTATACGGCAGTAATTGGGGACAATAATCATTGATCAGTTAGACCTAGAGAATTTGTTTTAATACAGAAGTAAGAGCATGGGTTAAGGGACATCATCCAGCAATGACAGCTGAGACCTATCAGTAGACAGATTCTTTCCTGGTCACCCAGGAAAGTGAAGGGTGGCAATTCCAAAGTTATCATTTCTCTACAACAGACCATTGCCCAGTAAGACTCCTGGCTATTGGAAGGGGTTGGGTCAGCCAATCTTGAGCCATCACTAAATATCCTAGGAGAGGTAGTCAGATGTAGACTGATCAGATGTTAATGGTCTTATCACTGGCACAACTCAGCCTGTGTTGAGATATCCAGTTGTTGAAGTCCCTTAACCCAACAAATTGAACAGGGCAGCAGACAGTACTGCTGTTCTGAATCTGAAGGGGTTTCGAGGACCTTACCTTCACAAACGCTATCCCACGCACAAACTTGAAAATGAGTATGATGGCCATAGAGAGAGCGTAGATGCCGGCATAGTATTGCATCAGAGGGTTATCCTTCATGCTGTCACTCACCACTGTGTCATTACCCAGAAACACAGAGGTGTTCTACCAGAGAATAAGAAACATACACTGGGTTAGGAAACAGCAACTCTTCTATCATGTATTTTGAAGTTAATCTAAACGGAACTTCAAAAAGCAATGGTTTACATGCAGCACCATGTCATTTCCGAGTGTTCTTTGTCTGAGACGTGACTTACCCCACTGCCTTGCTTGATCCAGTAGCTGAGCCACCAGTTGCTGAAGGCTGTACTGCCCACATTGAGCACGAAGAGAGACAGGAGGATAAAGAAGACCAGGGGGCCACCAGCAGCCTGAATATAAATGCCATACACTGACCAGGGCACAGAACCCTTCCCCTTTTCCTCCACCTGCATCAGCTGGCCTGGGGAGACAGGGTAGGAACAATTAACAGCAGCAAAGACAGACTCCTGCAGTGCAACATGCGTGTGCAGTTACAAGCTTGTAAAAGATGACTGAAAACAAAACATGTTAAATAAAACACCTGTAACAATCATAAACACCATCATGAATAACTTCGGCAATGTAGATCTCTTGTGCTCGTTGTCAGGTATCTAATTAACCTCACTTTAATGCTGTTGTAGATTGTAAATGATCTACAGAGGCAAACAAAATGCCCTGTCTACACACAAAAACACAAAAAGACATGTTCCTCCGAGAATCGAGTCCCAAGATGAACGCACAAGGTGCTGATGCTTTTATAGCTAATTGTAACCGTGCTAGCTAGCAACAAGCTTGCAGGGGGAAATACCTTTTTAAACAAAACATTTAAAATCAGAGCATTAAGTTTCTCTATAACAGTTTTGTTTTAAACTTGGCTTCAGATGATGTAAAGATATAACTTAAGCTAAAAATAAGCACATTATAGAAACGTTTTGTGATTTTTCAAAAATTAAAAGCGTAGAAAAGTAAAATCTCTTTTGTTCTATACCTGGTTTCAGCACATAGCCCTGACCATGATCTTCTCTAATAATCTATTCAAATATATTCCACACCTCGGACCTCAAACTCAATACATGACTTCCATATCCACTGGCTTTTAACAGCCGAGCTCTCCATTTTTGGGCTCCAGCCCTCAAAGTCCATACACATATTTTAAGTCATTTTTAAATATCTTCATTCTACTTCCCAGCTGAGTAAAAACTCAGTGACCAAGACCTACAGCTGGCACAACTCCCGGAAGACAGTGCATTTCCTGAGGACTGGAGTTCAAGAACCCTACACAAAATGATCCGAGTGCAGAGACAACAGGCACAGATGAACAAAGGGTTTATTTCAAGCTTTGGACAAAAGAAGTAAGTGAATCCAGAAAACATAATAGTTCAGCTCTCCCACAACCTGAAGAACTTACCGTCATCCTTGCTGACAGGCTTGTCTTTCTTCACAGAGCTAGCCTTGGCTGCTTTCTCAGAAGGCTTCTTCAAGGAGTTGCTCGTGTTCTTGTTACTCATCTGCTCACAGACAAAGCATTTACACACAACTGCAATGGAGATTTTCCTTTAAAGGAAAGGTTGTAAGATAGCAATAAAATGCAGCATTTTTAATGTGAGATTCACGTCAAACATTATGGATGCCCTTCAAAATAGAGTGAACAAGAATGATCAACTTCATGGCAAAACATCCAGCACCCATCTTCACTCTACCCACACAGGATGTGCAGATGAAGAGGTGGAACTGACCTCAATGCAGGGGGCGTCCCCCAGCTGCAGGTTGTTGAACATGGCAGCGTAGTCTCCATTGAGCTGCATCAGGTCCTCATGGCTGCCCTTCTCTGTGATACTACCATCCTTCATGAAGAGCACATCGTCACAGTCCACCAGGTACTGCACACAGACAGGACACATAGAGGGAAAAAAAGAGTGGTTACTCTGCTTATTACCCTTTCTTCTCCATTTCAACATTTTAACCCCTTGTTATACTGGATCTCATTATGTCACAGTATCAAGGTTTATACCAGATCCTCACATAAAGGGGAGGCTTATAGAAATTAAAAGGTTCCAAGTCATACGGTTTATATTTATATATTAATATTGTTTGTAAACATTATTGTTTGTAAACATGGAGGCTGGCTCTGCAGACCCATTGCCTCTCCCCACAGTCAACTCCACAGATTGTCTGATAACACTGTGTGGCACTCTAGCAAACTGGACCGAACAGGAAAGTCTGTACAGTGCCATGCTTATGAATACAAAGATGTCTTGCTATTTCAATCTCCATTTGTCTATAGACACGGCCGAGGAGGGTTTTAGAGTTTTAACTGTGATCCGTGCCTTGGGGAATGAGGTTCGAGTTGCAGGGAGAAAAGGAGGAGCTGTGGAGTGGGTACCTGCAGTTGATGGGTGACGAACAAGATGGTCTTCTGCTTGAGCTGTTTCTTGATGGCATGGTTGAAGATATGGTTACCCACATGTGCGTCCAGAGCACTGAGGGGGTCATCCAGGATGTAGATGGCCCTGTTGCTGTACAAGGCCCGTGCCAGGCTGATTCTCTGACGCTGACCCCCACTCAGGTTAGCACCGCGCTCCCCAATCTACAAGGGAGATGAAAGCAGAACCTGGCATCGGTCTCCATGCTCCTTCGTGCGTATAGTTTATTTTCCTCTCCCATTCCAAATTTTTTGATACAATAATCCATTTTGACCAATTAGATTTTTAACTGGGCAAGAAAAGGAAGCCACTGTGTGATGCACGTTTGTATGTGCTCAAATTGGAGTTCCAAGATGGGTGTATAGGAACATCATACATAACGTGCATGTCAATGTGCACTTTTAGCAGGAAAATTGTGCAACCAAGCAACAGCGTTAACGGACGTTCTGGGCATTATTTCTTAACCAGCCTTAGTAAAGCTTACTAACCTCTGTCATGTCACCATTGGGGAGAATAGCCAGGTCAGGCCTCAGGCAGCACGCATTCAGCACAGCATTGTACCTGAAAAACAGTGCTGATATTAGTTACTGCTGCGGAAATAGAGATACCAATGAGTTACTGCAGTTATACTGTTTACTATACCTCTCCTCCTCGTATTCTTTCCCAAAGAGGATGTTGTCTCTCAAGGTGGCATTCAGTATCCAGGCCTGTTGTGCCACATAGGCAAAGTCCCCATTCACTGCAATACTGCCCTCCTGCAGTGTCATCTGGGGAGGGAAAGACAGCCCAAGAGGGGAGTCATGCCTTTACAAGCCCCAATTCTTCACACGTAATACATAGTAAAGAACCATTCCAAAAGAAAACTGCTTTTTCTCTTCATTTGGATACAGCAGAAATCACTACCAAAGGCAGGACAATTAATCCAAGCGGGTTTGTGGTCCTGGTATTTGAACAAGTGTAACCTAGTTCATTTTCAAAGAACAGAATTTTCTCTCTAGTAAATTGGGACAACTAGCTACTGTTTTTCCAGTCATTCTGACCTCACTGCCAATAGATTTTTTTCCTCTTCAAAACAGCTGCAGTGTCCTTCCTTATTATACTGGATTGCAGTAAAGCCCATGATTGTAAACATAGGTTTTTTATCGCCTTAGAATCTATGACTTGTGACCCTTGGTGGGCATGAAGATCAACAGATTACTAACCAGACTCTTACCTGTCCCAGAATAGCAGAGATCAGGGAGGTCTTTCCACTCCCCACACTTCCACAGATTCCAACCAGTTTGCCCTGATCAGAAACACAAAGGATAACACACATCATCACAAGTGCAAAGACAGGGGCAGAGTCTATCAAACCTACTGCTTCAGACTTCGCTGCTGCTTACATTTTGCACTGCAACTACATCTTTAAGACAAAGAACCAAAATTAGTGCCATTGAGACAAACATACGTACTTTAAAAAAGCTTCCCCTACCCTCTCTACCCCAAACTCACATGGCAAAATTACACTGATCACAAACACTTGACACTCACCCCTAGCCTGGTCTGAAACACACATCCCTCTGGACCCACAGACAAACACATACAACTCTCACCCCATTACCCCATGACAGGACCCACAGACACGCATACAACTCTCACCCCATTACCCCATGACAGGACCCA